CCAGCTTCTTCTCTGTGTGCTGATTGTTGTGCAGCACACAATTTGAAGCTGTTTTGAAGCAACCAGTCGTTTTTGCGCATGCTTTTTCTAGGTCATGCTGCAGCCGCTGCTCTTTTGGTGAGTTTTATTTTTATTTTGTGTTGCTCCTTACTATTATTATTAAAAAGAAAGAGAAGCATGTGACCTTTTTGCAATGCCGTTTCAGAAATGGTGTCGATATTTACCTCAATGTAGTTCCTTTTGCATGCAATTTCTTTGGAGGTGTAGCCGCATCGGTTTCACGCAAGCCGACGCAAACTCCTGTCCGAGAGGTAGAGTATCATTCTTGTGCTCAATATCGTGAATTTCTTTGACATTGTTTCAGTCGTCCTTACAATTTTCATTTTCAACACACACATACTTTTCATTTCCACTGTATGCCATATTTTGTAATCGAATGGAGTTTGCATGCCGTTTTAGGATTGTTGTGTTAGCTTCATCAAATGACTATGGCTTCATGTTTGTGTTTTTATTTTAGTTGCTTGCATGCATTTCCTAGTGAGTGTGCTGTCTGTTGGTCCTTTTTTCACCCTATAGTGTTTCAATCCACTTCACCATACTGTGGCACTGCTTTTGTCTTACTAGCACACACTTTTGCATGTCGAAGATATTACACAGTTTCCTTCAATGTATTGTGATACAAGTCACGCTTCACGTGCTATTACCACCACCTTTTCTGATTCTTCTTTCCCATAATCCTCATTTTCACCCCTGGTAACTTACCAATAAAAAGTTCACCAGTAAACGCATAGTTGCAATAGATACTTCGGTTCCAAGCCCTTCACTGCTTTGTGTACAGCAATTTCATTTCTCGATTAATCTTCTCAGAATTAGCTTTGAGGCTTTCGCTTTGTGGAATTCGAAATGAGTGCTACCCACAACATTGTAAGTTGAAGATCAGTTGTAACTGTATCATCATCACTTGCGCTTTGGTAAATTCTGAACTTTTATGATTGCAGTCCACTGCTGCCCTATCACTACGGCTGAAGGGACCGAAAGAGTGGGTACAACATGCACATGCGGGGGTCAGTAGTTTTTGAAAAGTGTTACTGCATCACATGCTTTTCTGAAGAACAGCTTTTAGAACCGTGAGGGCAGGCGACCAGTCACCGAGCGCGGTTTTCAAGGAGAAGAGTGCTTTTGCAGTACTCTGCGAGGCATGACCCTAGACTCGGTAGTGAGCAGCGACTCGTCGTTTGGAACGGGACGCAATTTCACTCCAGAAACAAAGGCGGTGATCGCCAACGTCATGCAGTTTTTTGGAAAGTTGAAGGAGAAGCTGGGGGAAAGATCTCGAGGAACCATGTTTGAAAAGATAGACATTATAACTGCTAAGGCGTGCGGTGTGAGCACGAGTACTGTGTACCGAGTCAAAAATCCTATGAGTCGCCCAATGACTCCACGAGGAAAGCCGAAGGAGCGCAGCCGGAAGGCTGAGATCAAGACCGCTATGGATAGCTTTGGTCAGGAGTGGGGTGAACGCCTAAAGCGTCTGGTGCATGGCATGCTAAAGGAAGAGAAGGATATTACTATTCGGGAGTTGCGGCAGCAGATCTCGATTACCTATCCGGATTTCGGATTATCAGTGACGACGCTTTGGAGGCTGCTGAAAGGTCTCGGGTTCTCCTTCAAACTACTGAAGGGGCAGCGGTTCATTTTTGAACGCTCGGACCTGTCTCTCAAAAGATCGCTGTTCTTGAGGAAAGTGAACGAGGCCAGAGAAAGGGGGGACTGCGTGGTCTATATGGATGAGACGTGGGTGTTCGAAGGTATGGTGAAGAGGAAGGGCTGGGTCGACACCAAGATGTCGCGTTTTCCCTCGGCTGAAACGATACGGAACTATTCTTGCGGGAAGACTGCTGGAAAACGAAAGGGAAGCGCGGCATTGTTATAACGGCGCTTATCGGAAGAAGGTATTGTGCCCGGCTGCACCCACGTCCTCCTTAGTGGGTACAGGACCACGCAGGACGATTATCACCGCGAAATGGACCACGTGGCATTCGAACAGTGGCTAAAAGGGTCAATCCCGCTGATGAAAGATTTTGCAGCTGGGAGAAATGTTACCTTAGTGTTGGATAACGCACCATACCATACTAGAGCGTTGTATAAGGTAAGAACGAATCAGGGTGGGCGAAAATTATGATGGCAATAACACTGTTTCTTGAGAAGCATAGCAGATTGATGTAGCCAATACACTTCAGGAAATGTTTGGCACTCACATCACAACGCAAAACTAGATTAGGAGAGATATACTACCTGGTGAAACGTTCAGACCAGAACACCTGGGGCCGTAAGGTATGCTTCCCCGAAGGGTTGGGGACGAAAATCCCTTTAAATTTTCTCTGTCTTCCCAACTGGGATTGTCCTGATAAAGGGCCTACATTTAATATGTGTGTAGGTTAAAGTAAACATGCACTTGAAAATGAAGAAACAGTATCGTTCAAAACAAAAAATTTAAAGGGACTTTCGTCCCCGCAACATTCGGGGAAGCATACCTTACGGCCCCTGAGCGGTTTCCTATGAAATACGCAGATGAAGAGACTTCGAAAAAGTGATTTGGCCGCGCACACTCGCTGTCATCATAATTTTGGCACACCCTGTAGATTTTCCTGTAATTCACAGAAGGAATTATTGACAGATTCCAACCGCAAGTTCCACAAAGCAAGAAATAATAGACTACCTCGCTCTCCACGGCATTGAAGTGGCTATGGATACCACAAAAACCTTGCTTCTTCAAGAGGTTTATTATGAATTAGAATGCCCCCAGCTATTACCTTTACACAGTATTCAGCTCGATGACTTCGTGGAAAGCCGAGGCGGCCTAGCAGCTTTACGATGCTACGCCGCCGAGAAGATATGCAGTGATCTGGGGGTTACCCTAGTCAGGTTGCCGCCGTTTCACTGTTTCTTCAACCCGGTGGAAATGTGTTGGAGTTATCTAAAACATCGCCTGAACAAGATCGGTCGTCCTACGGATAGGCTCGAAATAATCTTATGGATGCATATTCAAGTCTAGGCGGCCGAAATATCATTACGATTTCTTTTAGGTTAGGAGTAGAACTCTTGAAATATTGGGAGGTCTGCCAAGACAACTTTGCGAGGGTTGGTGCAGGGAGACACTTCGGGAAGAAGAAGCTGCGAGGTCGAAAGAGGTTCTAGATGGTGGGAGTCATGGTGGTGGCGGTGGGGTAATATCCTCTTCATCAGACATATCGTCTGATAGTGCCTCAGAAGAGTTATTGACAGACTTTAGCACAGAGTTGTAAAGATAACTTTTCGTTTTCCAAAGCTATTCTCTTATTGGCATTTGAGTATCTTATCGTTTCTTTTCCCACCACGGGTACCCCTCTTCAATTGTTACTTTCTATCGAAACTCTATCACCAGACTGTGCACGTACTTCTTTTAAGACCTATATTGTATGTACTGTTGTTAATGTTGTTGATGTTTTTGTTATTCTCTTACTTTGTTACGTTACTGTTATTGTTATTAGAACTTGTTTTGGCATTTCTACTTGAAACCAAGCCATTGATTTAGTCATGTTTTCGTTATTTTATCTAAAATCATGTTTGTGGTACACGCATTTACTGGTGAACTTTTTATTGGTAAGTTACCAGGGGTGAAAATGAGGATTATGGGAAAGAAGAATCAGAAAAGGTGGTGGTAATAGCACGTGAAGCGTGACTTGTATCACAATACATTGAAGGAAACTGTGTAATATCTTCGACATGCAAAAGTGTGTGCTAGTAAGACAAAAGCAGTGCCACAGTATGGTGAAGTGGATTGAAACACTATAGGGGTGAAAAAAGGACCAACAGACAGCACACTCACACTAGGAAATGCATGCAAGCAACTAAAATAAAAACACAAACATGAAGCCATAGTCATTTGATGAAGCTAACACAACAATCCTAAAACGGCATGCAAACTCCATTCGATTACAAAATATGGCATACAGTGGAAATGAAAAGTATGTTTGTGTTGAAAATGAAAATTGTAAGGACGACTGAAACAATGTCAAAGAAATCCACGATATTGAGCACAAGAATGATACTCTACCTCTCGGACAGGAGTTTGCGTCGGCTTGCGTGAAACCGATGCGGCTACACCTCCAAAGAAATTGCATGCAAAAGGAACTACATTGAGGTAAATATCGACACCATTTCTGAAACAGCATTGCAAAAAGGTCACATGCTTCTCTTTCTTTTTAATAATAATAGT